GCCTTAGGTAGGGCTGATTTTCAAAGGGCACCTGAAGAATAATCATGCACTTTTCATAGGGACCATAATTTTGCTGATCTCGAAGATGAAATAGCAGCAGAATTAAACATTGTGCTTATTTTTTGAAAAAAAGACTGGATTTCTAATTTGCAACATGGTAGGGATTTTCTAAATCTGTTGTGAGGATCAAGCTGTGCCTTTTTAGAGCTGGAAGTACCAAGCTGAATGCACCGAAATCTATTTATATGGTTCCGGTTCCAGGAAAAATAAAGTCTTTGCAAAAGGCACTGAAACTAAATCTTAGTTGGGAAAATCTTAGTCCAAGCGACTTTGGGAATGAGTTAAAACACCTACCCTGGACTTCAATGAGTTTAGTGAAAAGCCCCAGTATCTTTTGGTATTTTCCACAAATGTTCATAGCAACCCCACTTTGTCAATCATCTAAGTGGACCAAACAAATGAATTTAAGTACCTATGAGTTTGCAGATCCAGTCCACAAAGCATCACAGAGGCTTCCTTTGACAGAGAATATTATCTTATATTTGAGAATCAATGATGTGCCCTTGGACTAGGTAATGAAGACTAAGCTAAGTAGAAAAAAACAAGGAAAGAAAATAACATTTCACTTTAGAGGGAATAAGGGTGCTTAATTGCAGCTTTCATTATTAGGCTGATTAGTGAGTTACATTGCCGGATAGTGTAATGAGGGCTAAGGTCGACCCTAGCTTTGTCTGGTGGGGAACCATTCTGCCCTTGCTGTTATTTGCAACCTGATCTCACCCGAATTAAAATCAGCATGTTCTAATCCTGCCTGGCACCAGAATAAGATGATCCCAGTGACAGTGAGCAAATGTTCTGCTTAGCTGAGGTGCCTCCAGGACAGCATGACTTACCTGTGTAGGGAGGATTTTTGCAGGGTTTCTTATGGAGTTTGGAATGGGGCATAGGCTTTATTGCCCACACTGATGGCCCCTGGGGGGGGTGAGGGATTTGGGGAGAAGAAGGTGGTAGGAAGAAGGGAAGATACTTTATACGCCAGATTCTGTGCACTCCAAATGGGTTGGGGCTGTGGTATGAGTTGTTACAAGATATATGGGGGGGGGGTGGAGGAGGAAGTACTCTTTTATAATAATAACTATAATAATAAATGTTATTATCACATCTGGTATAAATGAAAGTTGCATAGCATTTAGCTGGTTCTGTTTGCCAGTCATTACTATGAGCAAACAGAGATAAATCAACTAGCTAGGAGAACTGGACACAAGTCTTGGCTCAGCCACTTATTACTCGTCTGCTCTTGGACAAGTTACTTCAACTTTTTTAATCTCAGTTTCCTCATCTATAAAATGAGAATGTTTATAATACCTCTCTCCCTGGGATGATGGGAGGAACGTACTTTGTAGTCTGCAAAATCCTATAGAAATGAGGGCTATTTTTATTATGGCAATGTGCCAGTGTTTGTCTCCAAGGAAAATCATACATCCTGGTGAAACAGAGCAGAACAAGCATTTCCCTTCTTGAGAAGCATTCTCAACAGAACCCAGCTCCCTTCCACCACGGAGCAGGATGTGACCCCTAATTAGCAGGGTAGGAAACACTGCATTTAGGCTTATTTCCAAGGATGAGAATCATCCACTTCCTGACCAATACAGCATTGATGAAAGAGTCCTGGACTTGCAATCAGAGGACAACTAGGTTTGGATCCTGACTCCCCATACCTTCTAGCTGTGTGGCTTTGGCCAAGTCATTTAAGTTCTCTAGGTCTGTCTCACCTGAAAAATAATGGCGCTAATAATTCTCATGCTATCTATCTCACTAGTTATTGCAAAGAAAGCACTTTGCAAATTGTAAAATCCTATGGGAACGTGCAGAATTAAAGCTCCTTGAAGGCAGGTGGTATTTCATTTTTGTCACTGTGTCTCAAGCGAATAGCACAGTATCTGGCACGTAGTAGGTGTTCAACAAATCTTTGTTGAATTTCATTGAATATGAGCTATTATATTTTATTTAAAAGAGAGCAAACCTGGTATTTGCCAATGACCATCAGTTACTAGCTAGGAAATCATTTAAAAGGAATTGTCTACTGAGTTAATGGACTTTATATTCATTGGCTGGGCAAAGAGAGGAGTCTTCAGTTCATAGTCACATACTATGTGAAAGGGAGCCTCTTCTTATCCCCACCACAGTTGGTATAATGACAGAAAGGCCAGAACATAACCAGAAGGTATTAATGAGGTGTTAAACCATCTGTAAAAGATGTATCTATCCCTTTATCCTTCTGTGCAGTGGAAATGGGTCAAGGGAGGGGACAGCAAGATTAGATGAATAAATGAATTGACCATGATTCTAGTGGCTATAAATAGCTAAGTCTTGGGTGAAGTTCAAGAGATCTGCCTGTAGAGGGGCTTCCTTATAATGGGAGAAGAGAGAACTTCCCTTCCTCCCCCACTATATTGCTTTGAAAGGGAGTTGGTGGACCCTGAATCCATCGGGAAAAAAGAGACATGCTTTCATGTCTGTCAAGAAACAGATATAGGTGACTAAAGAGATAGTCAACTGAAGCTTCAAGAAATGTATCACCTGGCAATTGAAGGTTGGACTGTGTAGAGGACTAGACCCTAGAAAATGATGATGATGATTCTATAATGAAACAAAGGAGTTCTAGGCCATTAAATACCAAGAGCTTTGAGTTACTTTTGCTTCACACATATCCTACATATGTGCCTCATTACCATTGTACTCTGAAGTCTGAACCCACTCTTCCCCTGGTCACCGTATGTATCTGTGGAGGAATGCACCCCAAGTTTATGAGTGAAATGGTTTTTACGTATTGTGCTTCCTATATCATCTTAGTAAATGCCTATGCTAAGAACTAATTGTGTCTACTGGCTGATTGTTAATGGGAAGTATACCAGTGGGGACTTAGGAACTAAAGTATTAAGAGTAAAGGCTCACAGGGTTACCTCTAGAACCTTAGATGACAGCTACTTTCTGGGGACCCAACTCCTTAGTGTTAGTTAGGAGAATATCCTGGACACAGTGTTACACATAGAAGGCTAGTCACTAAAGCTGGGACATAAAGCAGCAATCCTATGAACTTCCTAAATTGGAGGATTGAATGTCCCCTTAATGAATATAAATTGAGTCTTCTGAGGAAGGCAAGAAGTTGATTGCATGAGATTTTCTTAACAGAATAATAAAGACAACAAATTTTCACTTAAGGCAAATTTTCACTTCTTCCTCTCCCAGTCTTTGCCCTTCAATTCAGGATGTCTTGGATCCCACTTTAAATTTAACCTCAATCTGAGGGATTATTTTAATTCACCAACAGGCATTTGAGATGCCAAATTGCTGTGCACAAGGTTTGCTTGTTTTTTTTTTTTTAATGTAGCAGCTCATTCAATCCTAATAATCTTGGAGCTGTCATGTGTTGAGTGAGGAATGGGGCAAAGAGACATGTGGAAAGTCAGAAGCTGGCATTTTAAGTTGTTGTGCAGTCATTTCAGTCATTTCTGACTCTGTGTGACCCCATTTGGGGTTTTCTTAGCAGAGATGCTGAAGTGGTTTGCCATTTCCCTCTTCTGCTCATTATACAAATGAGGAAACTGAGGCAAACAGGGTTAAGTGACTTGCCCAGGGTCACATAGCTAGTAAGTGTCTGTGGCTGGATTTGAACTCAGGAAGATGAGTCTTCCTCACTTCAGGCCCTGAACTCTGTCCACTGTGCTACCTAGCTGTCCTGATGGATGTAGTGACTCCCTGTTTCCTGTTGTTGAATGCATAGTACGATGGCAAGAGTTCTGGGTTTGGCATCAGAGGACCCAGGTTCAAATACTACTTCTGCTACTTGCTACCTGTGTGACCTTGGATAAATCTCTGTACCTTAATGTGCTCAGACATAAAACAAGGGAGCTGGACTAAATGATGCTTCTAGCTCCAAATCTATGATAACATGATGCAGAATCATAAGATTCTTGTTACTGGGCACTAAAAGGGACTACAGAAACCAACTCATTTATCCCATAGACTCTTGCAGGAACAACCTCTGGTGTTAAGAAGGTCAGTGTTTAACCTAAATCCTTCATACTTTAAGCATTTTATTGATGGGTGTCCTTCACTAGTCCAGATCACTCTTCTTTCTTTTTGAGTTCCTGTGGCTTTGAAAAAAATCCATCACCCAATGCCCAGCCTTTTGGTATTCAGACTTTGTGATGTCCTCAGATGGCAGACACACAGTCTGTTACTTGGCCTGGTCCCATTTCATGTTCTTGGCCAGAACTTGCCCTCCACTGTGGTAGCCTTAGAGAACCTGAGGCCAGCTCCATGCACTGGAATTGGACTGTGGCTTGCTCCTATTTCTTCTAGTTCTCCCTTGGTGGAGCAGAACCATAACTGGTCCTTTCACTTTTGTTTTTTTTCTTCTGCTTAGATACTCTGAATTCCTGCAAACTTCCCATTCCTTCCATCACCATCATCTTTCTGGCTGTCAGTGCTCTCCATGCCCTTCTCATATTGCACAGCCCCAAACAACAATAAATGACAAGGACAAATGATCCCAGAGACAATGACCTGGTGGCGAGGAGATATGCAGTCGGCTTTGGCTCCAGAGTTTGTTGATGTCTTGAGTGGCTGGGTCTCTTATTTTGACATGAGAGAGGGAATTGGGCAAGATATGCACTATCTGAGGAATGTGTGGGAAATGCTCATTCCCTTCTGTTTAACCAGGATATCGAGTTTCCAACTCATACTCTCTACTTAGTAATGGAAAAAGTGTTCCTATCTAAAAATGACAATAGGTGGAAATACTGTGATAGCAAAATAAAGATACAAAGGTTGTTGAGGAAATCTAACAGTGATTAACTTGGCATTAGCCAGCAACTGACCATCTTAAGAGGTATTTTTCAGAAGAAAGTACACATACAAGTCTTAAGCTATTTCTGATTAAAAGGAGTTTTATTGACTTTCTTTTAAATAACTAGAAAGAGTGGGAGGGACCTTGAGGTAGGACACCTGGGTTGTGGCCCTGACTCTATCCTCCCTTATCAGCTATATGACCTAGGGAAAGTCATTTTACTTTTCTAAACCTCAGTTTTCTCATTTGCAAAATGGGAATAATTATGCTTGTAGGGTATGCCTTATAGAATTGTAAATGAGATGATTATGTATGCAAAATATACCGTAATCAAAAAGCATGAAATAACTGTGAGTAGCTATTAATTTTAATTAAGGCAAAACTCTTCAACATGAAATTTTTTCCAATCAGATCTGGAATGTCTTTATGATATGAAAGCAGCAAAGCATATTGACCTTTTATACTACTTGAGAGAGAAATAATTTAACAAAATCAAGAAGCTTTCTACAAAGCAAACCCAATCACTCAAGCCATTGAGAATGTATATTTACCCTATTTCTTCTAATGTGGAGATTACAGGAACTCACAAACTTACAATGTACAAAATATGTTCATATGCTATGAAATTCCCAATAGTTCTTTGCTAAAATGTAGTCTGTTTAGAGTTGAGAATGTGCAGTTACCAAAAAAATGTAATGGCTCATTAATAAACAGCTTATAAATTCATCTTTCTTATGAACGATGACAGTCATCATTAAAATATTTATGCTGCATCCATCCTGACTCTCCCTTCAATGCACATTTCTGTAGCCAATGGCCCATGGCTATTTCTCATCACATGCTATTCTGGAAGGCTCTTCACTCTCTCCTCTTGGGATAGTGGGTCCTTTCTGGCTTGGAATGGCAGGAAGCACCCGGCTTGTCCTTAAAGGTTCTCCAGACAAAACTAGCAAGAAAGAATAAAATAGATGAGTTTGAAAAATCCCTTAACTTGAAGACGTGGTGAAAACTGATAAAGAGAGAATTCAATTTAAATCAAGTATTTATCATGGGTCTTTTACACGTAAGGTGTTGTGTGAGGCAGCTAGGGATGCAAAGACAAAACAGAAATTTTTCTTGCTTTCTAGCGCATCTTAAAGAACTTACATTCTGTTCTTTTGGACAATGCAGAGGCTTAGAGATGTTTTTGCACCTTGTAGAGTGTGGTTAGTCAGTATCTGGACTGAAGAAGAAAAAAAGGGGCAAAAGCACATTTTTTAAAGCTGGAAAATAAGTCTTCAGATTTAAGTTCATAAAAATTATAAATGTCAAAAACAAAATGATACAGCACCCAGCCAAGGATTACATGATTAGGCTGATTGTAGATTCCCAGCAGTATTCTCTCCTGGGCGTGGCAAGAATTACATGAGTGCCGACCAAGTAAATGCATGACTCCAGAAATGTGTCCACAATTTGCTTTATGGTTTTAAGAATGATACAAACCCTGAAAGGATTCTAATTTAATTTTACCCATTTTTTTGTGGCAATAGGTGAGGTGGAGAGAAATGGCAAAAAACAAAATAGTAGACATTTATATAGTATTTGTTATATACATACATCATTTCCTTTGTTCCTTAAATAAAAAATTAAACCCCCCTAAGAATACCCCAAAACAAACTCTGTGAGGTGAGTACTACAGGTTTTATTATTTCCATTTTACAGATGAGGAAATTGAGGTTCAGAGAGATTAAATGACTTGCCCATAGCTACATAACTCATATCTGAGGTGAGATTTGAACCCAGGTCTCCATAATTCCAATTCCAGCACTCTATCCACATGGCCACTCTGCCTCTGAAAATAATGTGAAACAAGAAAACAAAACCCCATAACTCTTCTTATATTTACCTAGATCTAAATCTGAAACCGGAACTGTACCTTCTTTTCTCTGAAAGAGCCTTAGGTAGTTCAATTTTAAAAATGATTTTAAGATTGATGAGACTTTTAAGTTCTGCTTAAATTCTATTGGCCTTTTGCCAATCCCAACTAGGGTTTAAGTCTGGATAATCCTCTCTCTCTCTCTCTCTCTCTCTCTCTCTCTCTCTCTCTCTCTCTCTCTCTCTCCTTCCGTCTCTTCCTCCCCCCTCATAAAAGAGCAACTGGTTCCATTTCCAGAGATTTATAGAGAAGCTAGAGTCCACTGTCCTGATTCAGAAGAGTCCACCTTCTTGTCTGTCGGTGGCCAATCATCTTCCACACAATCCCAAGTAACTAAGAAAAATGAAAAGTTTCTATGTCATCCCAGCAAAGTGCATGGCCCTGAAAAATGCACCTGAGTCCAGCTCCAACTCATTTGATCAGGAAAGGCACCATTGCATGGTAGCGTTGAAGCCAGGAAAAGCTGAATTCAAAACCAGTCTCTGATGCATACTGTCAGTAGACAAGTCACTTAAGCCCTCAGTGCTCCCCTCAGCTCTCTTGGAGAAAGGTGCTGACCTGCATTGGAAGAGGAAGTTTCTTCATCCAGAGCTTCCTTTTACCAAAGAATCCATAAGTCCAGTCCCCATCCCTTCTCCTTGAAAAACTGCCCCTTCCCCCTTAATACATAAGCTTTCATTGAGAGATGCCATGATGCAGCCAGTAGAGAGGGGACTTAGGATTCATATACTACCTCTCTGGCACTTTGGCTGCATCAGTATGGACACAAATTAGCACCTCCTCCTCCAGGCGCTATAAGATTGCAGATGAACATGGTATCATATTGAGTCTCTTTCTAGAAGGGATGCTGTCACCCACATTTTGGAGAGATACAAGACATGAACCACATTAAACTTTGTTCTAGAAACCTTCCCAGAATTGATAGGGCTACAGCCAGAGAGAGAAAAAAAAGCCTGACCTTTCTCTTTAAGGTCAATCCTCCCACCCTCCCTGTGAATCAGGGTCCATGTAAGCCTAAAGTCAGAACCCCTTATAGGAGATAGTTCTCAGGGCCATGGGTAATATTTGTTATATGTCAATCTGATGGAATTATATACTTGTTGGAGAAAGTCTTGATTCAAAATGCTTATTCTGAAAAGAAAAAAACACAGTGCCATTGTATTTAGATTCAGTTCACATAATGACATAATCTTCCCTGTGTGCATATGCTGTTCTCGGAGGTCACACTCATTTATGGAATTATCAAGTTCATCCTCTTGTTTCCTTCAAGTCATAGCTACCGACAGGCAGCGTGGTATAGTGGAAATAGGGCTGGACAGAGTTCCAGGAGAGACCATAGTCATGTGACCTTGGGCAAGTCACTTAACATCTCTGACCTCAGTTTCCCCATCTGTAAAATGTGGATCACTGTACTCACTCTAGAAACTCTGTGGGTTTGTCATGAAGAAAGCATTTTACAAATCTTAAAGCATCATATAAATGTGAGGAGTTATTATTAAGAGACTCTTACTGTCTTTTTTATTTAAATTGATGTGTTAGCTAAGAAGGGGAGAAGTCAACCAGTCACTGAGAGCCACAGGATGGGATTGCCCTGCCTTTGGATTCTATTAACCAGCCTGCACTGCTTTTCCAAAATGCATAGTGTGTCAGGGAACTGACTAGGGATGCCTGATCAATTGAATCCCCCCCAACCCACTTGATATGGCAGTTAGATGGCTATTTGGATGGAGCACCTGAGCCTAGAGTTAGGAAGACCTGAGTTCAAATGTGGCTTCAGACACTTACCAGCTGTGTGACCCTTGGGCAAGTCATTTAACCCTGTTTACCTCAGTTTCCTCACCTGTAGAATGAGCTGGAGAAGGAAATGGCAAATCACTCCAGTATCTCTGCCAAGAAAACCACAAATGGGGTCATGAAGAGTTGGGTATGACTGAAATGACTGAACAACAGCAACAAAGTCCACTTGATGAAATTACAGCATAAAAGGAAGTTATAGAGTCCTAAGATATTTTAAAGGCAGTGTAGTTTAGTGCATAGAATATTACTACTTGACATCAGATAGAACTTCCTCGGATGAACATGGTAGCTGTGTGACCCTGAGATCACTTAAAGTTCTCAAGTTTCCTCATTTCTAAAATGAAGGAGTTGGACTTGAGCTTTCAGGTTCCTTCCAGTTCTAAACCTATGAAAGTATAATATAATGGTTCACATCTTTCAGACTTTAATGAGGACCATTTGCTCCCTATAAATGATTTTCCTCTTTCAGACTTTGGTTAAGGTGAAATGAGTACAAAGAATTTCTTCTACTTCCCTCCTCCTTTGGAAGATTTGGAGAATTCCTCACCCAACTGGTTAAATTTCAGGGCAGCTAGCCACTGATTGAAGAATCACCCTTCCCACTGACTTCTAAAAAGTAAGAGAAATCTCTGAAAAGAAGGCCGTCCCTGGCAGTTGAGAAGAGAGCCAGCTGCAGAAGAACTCAACTCTTGAGAAAGAATCACACTTTACCTTTTCTTTGACATCCCTTCCAGATGCAGCAGGGGAAAGGATTTCTTTCTCCTTTCTCATTTGATTTGCAATAGTGTGTTACAGTGGGCAAATTACCCAGTAGAATTTGTGTCCATCACAGAGGAGGGCCAGAGGGTCTAGCTGCAGATTCTAACTGAGTTGCAGAGTGGAGCAGGTCTAGTGAACCTAACAGAACAACATGCCAACAGAAATGCTGTGTGTACATGTGTGTGTGTGTGTGTGTGTGTGTGTGTGTGTGTGTGTGTGTGTGCGTGTATGTGTGTGTGTGTGCTCGTGCAGAGGGTGGTGGGGGAAGCAGCATGGAGATACTGCAAGAGGAGAAAAGACATCAAGGTCCTGCTGTGCCAGGGTTGTGAATTGCTTTGGCTCATGTATTCCCTAAATGCGCATGCTTGCTCTTTCCCTGGTTGCTGTGTGCATAGTGTACGAGTGTGTCCAAAGTTTGTAGGAAAATATTTTGTTGCCTTTGCTTTGAGCTAATTGTGACCTTTGCTAATAATTAGAATTCCACTGGGGGACTCATGAGCTATATAGTTTTAGGAGTGCAGACCCACAGAATGCCTTGAACCTGTAGTGGTGGTCTCCCTGGGCACCCAGCTTATGGGTGTGATTTAGGGGGTAGTGATATGCAAGGGAGAAATACTTGCATAGATACAGTCAGATGTTGGGGTGGCCCAAGGCTATATAGGGTTTTACCACTCTGAAGGATCAGAAATTCTATGGCAGCCACATTCCAGGGAGAACAATGAGATTTTGCTTTTTGAGGGACAAAATGGAATTGTCCAATGACCTGGAAAATTTCCTAGGGAATTAGGAGGGGCTATAGCACAAATGTATAAAGTGTGTGACATTTTCAAAAGGGAAAGATGAAATGTCCTAGGATGTTTTCCCAGAGATTTATTAAGGCTCTTTCCCCACATCTGTCTAGTCTTTTGTTATCCCTTGTGTGATATGACTACCATTTACCAGATTTTCCCTGACACAACATCTTTTCCCCAACTTACAATATGGGGAGGCCCAGGGAGGCTCTCCTCCTTCCCTAATCCTTAGGGACTAGCTTCCCTTAAAAGGAGATGGTGCTGTCCCAGGTACCTGTTTGACCCTGACTTAAACACATAACAAATCTTAAGACATGATCAGTCAGGGCCTCTCAGACTTGGTGGATTTCGGAAGGCCACGTGAGTCGCCATGTCCTTCACAGTATCCTGCTCTGAGGACCAGATGCATTTCCACATGGAGACTAGGAGCCACATCTAAAGAAGCCGCTGGATCCTTGTTACATGTCCTTGTCAGGTTAGGCCAAAGTATACCTTCTTGTGTTAAATGTTCAATGACTTGTAAGTGGCTCATTTTCTCCCAGCATTGAATCCAAACAAAGAGAAGGCATTAGAGTGGCCTCCAATGCCTTGTTTCCATGACTTTTTTGTTACCCCCTCTCAGACTTCACTTTTCTTCCTCTCTGCTCTCAAGCCACTAGTTAGTTATTTCAATTCTACACTGCCCTCTGCTCTTGAAACCTTAGCCTCCTTGTCCTTTCACCACTTAGCTCATGCCAAACCTCGGCTCTGGATTATTCTCAACATCTGTTTGCACTACTCCTACACATGAGCTGCTAAATACAGCTGGAGGAAGTCTCACAATTATGTTGACAGGGTACACTACAAATTCATGTTATCCTACCCCATTTAGGCACTCACAGCAGTCAGTCAACAAGTATTTATCAAGCACCTACCATGTACTGGGCACAGAGAGAAGCCCTGGGAGCAGGCGGTTCAAAT